TATCAGGCTGTGTGAGATAGAGCTGGGCAGGGCAGCCACTCCAGAAACCCCAGGAATGTGGCCTTGAACCCCCTCCCTCCCCTGGCACTGTACTGGGAGCCAGGCCGAGAGGCTGGGAGTGTGGTGTGAGTCAGTACCTGGGCCAGGCCTCTCTCCACCCTGGTCTTCCCCTACATGAAAGGTGGCTCCACTTCCTGGGGTTAGGAAGGTGAGGTGAGCCCAGACAGAAGGCTTGCACAGGCACCCCCGTGCTGCCCTCAGCACTGTGCTCATGCCCTGCGGATGGGTCACTGCGACCCCAGCAGCCGGCAAACTGGGTGTTCTCATCTAGGGCAAAAGATTCCTGGAGACGGGGTACTTTGGTTTGAGAAAAGGAGATCCATGTCTTTGTGTTCATTACAGATTTATAAAACATTGTATTCTCATTTTGAATTCTGTTATAAGCTTTTAGAAAAATTATTGTGTGATGTCTAACTGAAGGCTTGCTTACAGACCCAGAGTTTCTCAGGGCAGGGCTGGCAGCCGCCCAGCCACCTGCAAAGCCCTGAGCCTTGGACTTCATGTTCGGTGATGGCAGTGATTCTCCTGTCTTCCTTCTGGGGACAGTGCCCCTGCCCAGAAGTGAATGAAGCCTTTGTGTTTCCAGGCTCTGCTCGCCTTTTGAGAGTCCCCTCCTTTTCCACTCTCTTGCACTGACTCATTGTTCTGTCTTGACTTGTCCCCCACTGAGTTGAAGAACTATGATCCACTTAAGCCTCCTTTATGTATTGCGGAGACCCCAGAGGTTAGATAATTATCCAGAGCTGGAGTCTGTCTCCAGGTATCCTGGCTTAGAGGAACAGATTGTGTTGGCAAAGTTTGCTGAGAAGATAAACTACTAGAGAGAATTCTAGTTCCTGTTTACTTCAACAGGAAATCAGAAAAACTGCTTGCCAGTTAAACTACTAATTAGAGATAAACTACTAATTAGAGAATTCTAGTTCCTGTTTACTTCAACAGGAAATCAGAAAAACTGCTTGCCAGAAAAATGTTGACGTCATTAAAGTGAACTGATGAATGTGTATAATTTTTTTTATTATATAAACAAATACCTCTCTTGTTATATGCAAATATTAGCAATGATCCTCAAGGTATCAGTTAAAAATTGCTCTACCCAAATAATAAATCACTGGGTTACACAAAGTAAAAGAAACCTAGCATGGCCTAGCATGATCTATCATGCCGACCACACTCTATGATAGCCTAGCATGATCTAGCATGGCTTGTCATGATCTAGCACAATCTGACATGGCCTAGCATGGCCTAGCACTATCCGACATGGCCTAGCGTGATCTAACATGGCCTAGCATGGCTTGTCATGATCTAGCACAGTCTGACATAGCCTAGCGTGGCCTAGCATGGCCTAGCACTAGCAGATGCCCAGCATGGCCCCAGGTGGCACTGGCACCTGGGTGACCATCTGTCTGATGTGACCCCAACAGACACCCTACCTGTTGCCCTTCCCATTCTCATCTCTTACATTATCCTTTGCTTCCCTGGCCCATTGTCACATGTTGAATTCTCCCCATTATTGAAGGATACTCTGTTTTCCAGGAAAGGCCCCGTGCCCCCCAGCCAGAAATGACTTCTCATGGCCCTTTGAACCTGTCCTCACAATTACACCCTATATCATCATTACTGTGATTTCTCTCTCTTGTTACACATGTCACTGTGCCTTTGGATCCACCCACCCCTCAGCACCAAGCCTAGGGCCTGGTCTACGTTCAGGAAGATGTTGCACATCACGCTGTGGCAACAACCAGCCACTGAGTCCCAGCAGCTTAATCACCAGCAGTAATTTCTCTCTCACATGCCCCGTCCTTCCTGGCCAGCTGTGTCTCTCCTGCTTCTTGCAGTCTTCTCTCCAAGACACAGACTGAAGGATCAGCCCCCGTGTGGGACCCGCTGGTCAGGTGGTAGTGGGGAGAGGAGGTAACAGGCTGGGGAATCCTCTGGAAGCTTCTGCCAGAAGGTGGTCTGTGTCACTCCTGCCCACGTGTTGCTATTGCTCCCCTGTCATCACCACACTAGGATCAGAGGGGGGAGACATGTGGGCCCCCTTAGGAGAGAGATGACCCTCCTATAGGAGGCAGTGGATATTTTGAGTGAGTGAGTGAGTCTGCAGAGTTAATTCCTATGGCACAGAAAATGTTCTGTTGATCTCTCAAGCGTGCACTCATCTACCAAATATCTTTACAGACCTGTCTTCTCCTTCTTTCCATGCTGTGAGCATGCTACACTGTGCCTGTCCAGCTACCTCACCTTATGGCAGGGGTTCTTCAATGCTGCCGTGGGAGGCTCTGTGGCTCAGGACCCAGGAGTGACCAGGTCCACTCAGGGTCTGGTGGGCACGGAGTTAGGCAGCCAGGAGCCAGCACGCTGAGCTAAGCAAGTTGAGCCTGAGCCAGGCACAGCCGTTTTATTCTACTGTCTGTTGCTCCACCTGATGCTGGATGGCCACGGCGGGGGCAGCACATCCACCTGGGGGTCACGTGAGATAGACAAAGTGCTGCCCTTCCTGCTGTGTGGGGCTTGCCTGCCAGTGTCGAGTGCCCAGAAAAATCCGAATCCCAGAAGATTCCAGAAATCTTCAGGTGCAGGGTGACTCTAGAAGTCTCAGAGTTCCTCTGTCACTGCCTTGGCAAACTTTCTCTCTCTCTTTCTGTCTCTCGCTCACTCTCTCTCGCTTGCTCTCTCTTGAGTGGCCAGGCTGGCAGGAGCCACCCACAAAGGACTGGATCCCTGCTGTGTGGCGGCATCGTCAGCCTTGATGTGAGACACGTGGAGAGTGTCCACTCTGCACCTCCACCTTTGCAAGCCCTCTTCTAGTGCTGCCTGTGAGCAATCTGTGTATCAGCACACGCCACAGGCTGCTATGCTAAAATGCCTTTTAAAACTGATTTCATGCATGTTAAGAAAGCATTCTGGTCTGATATCTGTGTTTACCATACACCACGGGTGCAAATGGGGGGGAGAACACGCCGACAAGGGCTCACGAGACATTCCATCAGTTCCCCACGAACACGCTCGATGATGAGCAAGACTGCATGTGGGCTGGTAAACAGCAGTGCCTAAGTCAGGTCGTCCTGCGGGCGTGGAGACCCAGAAGCTTTCAGGAGCCAAAAAAATACATCTTGAAACTGACATGCTCTGTTCTGTGTTTACACACATTTCTCTCTTCCCTGCTTGTGTCAGCATCAAAAAAGTCCTTGTTACCCGCAGCATTTTTATGGCTCAAGAGCTCTGTGCTGCAGAATAGCTGGTGGGCACATCAGAGCATCTCAGCTTGGGGATGGCAGCGCATGTGGCTCAGCTGCCCCATGCACGGGGCCAGCAGGGTTTGTCCAGCGTGTGTCAACCGCAGCCCCGAGGCACATGGCCCCTGAATTCTGGGGGCCACCGTGAGCCCCCAGAAGCCCTAGTTTCTGTGGCCTTCAGTGTCCAGAGAAAAGTCTCGGGCCCCAGGGTCTGGAAGGGAGACTCTGGGGTTGGGGGGGCACCGCGCACAGACAGTTCTAACCGACTACAGGGGTAATGGCCGTGCTCAATTTTGCCTTTCACGTTTTAATTGTACAACAGTAATTTTGCGATAGAGTTGCCGATGGCAAACATGCAAAAGACATTAACTTTATTTATGTTTTGGATTATTAATGTGGCTGTTAAAATTCCTCCAGTTAGTTTTGATTGAATTGTTTTTTTGTGTGATTCTGTTGTTTAATGGAGCGGTAAATAAGAATTTCTGATAATGAGGCCGAGCATCTGTCACAACAACCTGGTGTGGGTTATTAACATTTCCATTAACGGCAGGGTGGGCAGCGATAATATGGGAGCCACACAGTTAGAACAAAATAAATAGTCGGTGTCAGGCTGAGTGGGTGTTAATTACTATTTTATTCTACACTGGGGTGGGGGGGTTGGGAAGGGGTGAGTCTAGAAGGTCATTCTCTCCTGAGAGCCGGGGCACAGGGCTATCGCCCTCAGACAGTGGACAGTGGCTGTTTCGTCGTCTCCATGCATGGCCTGGAAACACACTTGAGTCCAAAGGCAGAGCCCCTGGGCCCACAGGCCGAGGCCCCCAGACGGCTCCCAGGGCTCTGGGCCCAGCCCAGCACAGACCTGTTGGGGTGCACGCATGGGCGGGTGGGAGGCAGGGAGTAGCTCCCGGGAGGCAGGGAGCAGCCTGTCATACACAAGTGTGGGGCAAGGACTTCGGAGACGGCTCGGAGCTGGCAGACGGAGGAGATGTGTTCTGCGTGTGCACACATGCTCTCTGTGCCGTCCCAGCTTCCCACATTCCGTCCGGCTCAGCAGGCAGTCACGGTGTCCTCCCCACCATTCCGGCAGTGTGGCCCTAGGGGAGGAGGGCAGGGTCCTCAGAGTTTGAGCCATAAGGGGCCTCAGGGCAGGGGCAGGGGGAGCCGTGCAATCTATGCTCCTGTCCCTGTTGGAGGGGCAGCCCTGCGCCTGCAGACCCGGGGAACAGGGCACCACAGCAAGAGGTTCCTGGAATGGGCACACAGATGCCTTTTTTCTCCATGTTCCATCCAAAACGCAGTGCCTCCTCCACTGTGAACGTCGCAACACACCCCACAGGGCCAGCAGGTCCTGCTGCTCTCTCAGCGACGAGTCACAGTTGGTGCAAAGACCTCGGATCCTCCAGCACTCATCACACCTTGATGCCCACAGCAGCCCTAAGGTCAGCCCGCCAGCATAGCCTCACGTCGCACTCCTGAGGCAAGCAGATGACCAGATCACACCTCTGTTTTTTAACACTCTGCTAATTGTGTCTCCAGTTGTATTTTATGCATCTCTAGACGTGATTCTGGGAAGGGTTTGCAGCGCTCCCTGGCTTAGAAGCTGAGTGGCCCAGGGCAGGCTCTCAGGCAGCCCACTCTGGAGTGAGGTGTCCTGCACGTGTCAATAGACGCCACAGCTCCTCTTCTGTGTTCCTCTCTCCCCAGCCCCGGCCATGGCCCCGCAGAACATCCAGGTGACCCCGCTCACGGCCAGCCAGCTGGAGGTCACGTGGGACCCGCCGCCCCCGGAGAGCCAGAATGGGAACATCCAGGGCTACAAGGCAATGCCGTTTTGCATGGTTTGCTTCTTCCTTCCAGGTCACTTGTAGGCCAGGATAAGTGGCCCAAATCCCCAGGGTTCCTAAGGGCTTCACTGGAACCCTGGTCACACTCCAGGACTGCTGCCCTCAGCTCTCTAAGTCCTGCTGGCAGACACACAGCTGGCCATCAGGGCAGAGAGCCATGGACAATACCAAGCGGCTGTAGCAGACTTAGCCAGACCTGGCCTCTCGGCCTGGGGGTGATGGTCTGGTTCACGGCACCGCTGGCTTGTGCCCAGCAGCCACGCCACCCCACCCCAGGCCCGGCCAGGAGCATCCAGTATCTTTGCTGACAATAAAACAGGGCAGGTTAAAAAGAGGGGGTTCTCTAGTGGAGCTCTGCCCTTGGGTTTCTACTGGATATTTCGTGAGGTCCAGGCTGGGAGGACCAAGAATTTGCATTTCTAACAAGTTCCTCCAGGAGTTGGGGTTCCTAGGAAGCCCAGTTTGAGATCCATCACACTAAAATCTTATGATGTCATATTAGCTAAATATTGCAGACGTGGGGCAAAAGAAAGGCAGCGGGCTGATGAGTGATTGCCCAGAGCAGGTTGGTGCAGGGCAGGAAGCCCCCACAGCCGTCTACAAGGCCATGTCCGTGCTGAGAACTCAGAAGGACCAGCTAAACCCACCCTGAAGAAAGCAGCCCCGGGCCCGTCCCTTGCAAACTGCCCCTTCCTTCTCCTGAATGACTCCTCGGCGGCCCAGCTGGGTCAGTCATCAGCCTCTGTGGGCCAGCCTGCCCTGATGACTATCGGGCCAATTAAATGTCCATTTTTGTCAGTGTTTTATGAAAATAAACACCTTCCTCCGCGGCAGGGCTGTTCCAATGATTGATGAGGTAATGCAAGTCCTGTGAGCTTGGAGGCAAAATGCTATTTATGGATGTCCAGAATATGTTTTCTAATTTCCTTAATGATAAAGACATTGAACTTGGGTATTGATCTCACGTTAGTAAGGCCTATCCAAGTGCAGGGTTGGATTGGCACAGTTCGGAGAGTACTGCACCACGACTTGCTGGTGCAAGTGAGCAATGCTACCGCTCAGGGTGAGCGCAGCAGGGCCAGGAGCGCAGGCCCACATGGGAGGCAGGAATGCTGTCCCTGGCTCTCTGCGGCCTGCCACCTTGTGAGGGGGCAGCTCCCAGGGCCTGGCCGGGCTTCAGCCCACAGAGCCAAGGCGGATGTACGGGTGAGTCCTGTCTTCGTGCAGTCTGGCTGGCCCTGGCATGAGGCGGTGGTTCTCGGCCAGCGGTCCGGGGAAGCGATCCTGGCAGCCTCCTCCAGCCGTTGTACTTGGGCATCAAGTCCGCCCACGAGTACATACAAGCGTGGTGACAGGAGATGAATCTAGGAGACACACGGGGCTGTCACCACAGGGCTGAGCCCAATGGGGTCCCTTCCTCATATTATTTTTATTGCCACATTGATTGAAGACTCAGATGTCAGCTTGCTGTGGGAGCACAGCGTAGAGGCTCGGGTGCCTGTTCTCTGCAGAGGCTGGTGCAGGGGTGGGTGTGCTCGGCCTCCCTCCTTTCCAGGAGACTGAGGGAAGGGGCAGGCCATAAATACAAGCACTAAACTCTGGAAGGGAAAAGGAACTCTACTTACAGGCACCTAGGAGAAAGTGTCACTCCCATCTTCAGGACCCCATGTTTTATTCAGTTAGGCAAAGCTCAAACTCTGGAAGAACAACTCAGAAATGCAAATTATTGGCTTCCTCAACTCTATTAGCAGCCAAGAGTTCCCCTCCCCCTGGCACTGACCTCAGCCCCCGCCCCCCCCACCCCGACTCTCTGCCCTCCATGCCACAGCATAGCCCGACCCAGGGGCTGGCATGCTCGGCCCACGGTCCCAAATCACCCTGTACTCGGGCCTCCTCTGTCTCCCACAGGCTCAGGAATAGGGGCAGCCACTCCTCCACCACCTGCCTCCAACTTTTGGCTCTTTCCAACAGGTTTACTACTGGGAAGCAGGGAGCCAGAACGAAACAGAGAAGATGAAGGTCCTTTTCCTGCCGGAGACGATGGTGAAGCTAAAGAACCTGACCAGCCACACCCAATACCTGGTCAGCATCTCGGCCTTCAATGCCGCCGGAGACGGGCCCCAGAGTGACCCCAGGCAGGGGCGCACCCATCAGGCTGGTAAGAGAGCAATGTGTTTCCAACCCACAGGCTTCCACAGGGCACCCCTCCCAATGGCCACAGTAGCCCCTGAGCCCAGACAAACGAGGGGCCCCTCCTCTCCATCCCCACAGCTCTCTGCTCACCTGACGCAGAACACATGCCGATGTGTGCCAGGGGATCTCGATCTCCAGAGAGGCAGGCCTGGGTGCCATTCATTTGCTTCCCCCAGGGGCTGGCCTTGGCCTATTGCGTGGTGGGGCCCTGGTACCCGCGAGACAACAGTGAGCACAGTGTGCCTCCCTCCAGACTCTCCAGGATCACAGAGGGCAGGCAGGCTCTGCATCTGCACCCAGGCCTCCTTCCCATTCCCTCAGGGAGCTTCTTACTGGGCTCTTAGCTCCACGTGTCCACAGCCCTAGGGGATGAGTGCCAGTGCACTGAGCCCAGGCCGCAGTACGGGCGCTCCCTGGGTTTCAGGGCCATAAACGACCTGGAATGGCTCACAGCTGTCTCTCAGACACTGGCCTAAAAGCATTTCGCTGTCAGGTGTCACATGGCCTGTGGCCCCACCTCCACACACAAAGGTTTTGTTTTGTTTTGTTTTGTTTTGTTTTGTTTCTTGCAAAAAGCTTTATTGTCTCCATTTGATCCATGTTTTGGGAAAGGGCTCCAGGATGGTTAAAAAGCTGCCTAGTGGCTGTAGGGAAAAAGGTTCAGGCACAAGCCCTGACACTGAGGGGTGGGGAGGTGCCAGAGGAGCCCCTCAAAGGCTGCTGGTCTCCGGAGGCTACTAGTCATGCTTGAGAGTGAGCCTTTTGAAAAGATACTTGCCCAGCCCAGCCGGGGGGTAGCCACCCATCTTCCTGATGAGTTTTACCCCCTCATCTAGGAAGTGGTTCTCCAGGAAGTCACAGAGATGGGGACCAGCATGGGCAGAACCCAGGGCATGCAGATCCAGAAGGGCCTGGTTCAGGCTCTTCTCCAGAAGCAGCTTTGAGCACTTGTTCTCCTGTGGCTCTCAGCTTCCCAGTGACCTGGAGGTCATTAGGAAGTGGTCAGGAATTCCAAGGGAATGCAGCTTAGTGCTGGTCCCAGGGATCTGAGAGGCACTCTGTGGGACCCAGGAAGTGTAAGGCCCAGAAAGCCAAGGAGACCTGTCCCACTCAGGGCTCCTGGGCAGTCAGTGGGTTCAGGCAGTGAACCCCCCCAGGGGTTCCATCTCCTGGGGCCGGGGACTCCCAAGCATCCCACGTCCTTCCCACGAGATGACTGCCCAGCATGCAAGGACTGCTTCCTCGGGGCCTCATCCAGTGGGGAGGAACTGTTTCTGGAATCCAGGCTGGATCCCCTGTTTCCCCCCAGGGCACCAGGGACCTGGCAGGTCACAAGGGTGACTGGAGGAAGAGCAGCTGGGGGACACGTGGTGGTGATTCTAGGGGCAGTCCTAGGCACTGCCCCCGCCCAGAGCCCAGGCAAGGGGTAGCAAGCCGGCTCAGCATCCTGACCACATGCCTGGCCCTCTGCAACCACAGGCAGCTTCTGCCCAGGATGGCTCGCTGGGCCCCCTCCCACACTCCAGGGTGAGGCCAGGAAAGTGGGCAGAGCCTCCAGGGGCCTTGGTGGCCGGGAAATGAAGCCCTCTGCATTTCCCTCTACGCCTCCATCTATTATTCATCTTAATGCCTTTGTCCCTGCGTCTCTCAGGCTCCTTTGTTTTTAAACCCCATCATTTTCTCTGCTCTTCTCAGGAGGGTCCAGGTTTCTGGTTGATCCTGGGAAGTTTGGAGATGGTCCATAAATCTTTTCATCCCACTGCGTGGAGACTTTTACTGAGTTGAAAATAACATCTAGTAACACTTTCATTCTATGTGGAGGCGTAGACATATATGTAAATGATCTATAAAGGAGCTTTACTCAAAGTCCCTTTATGCTGTGTTCCTCTAGCTCCTGGGACCCCCAGCTTTTTGGCGTTCTCAGAAATAACATCTACCACACTTAATGTCTCCTGGGGCGAACCAGCGGCAGCCAACGGCGTCCTGCAGGGCTATCGAGTGGTCTACGAGCCCTTAGCGCCTGTCCAAGGTGAGGCCAGAGGGGAGCACGGGGAGGGCCGGCTTCACAGGTGTGCTCATGGCACTCCACGGTCTGCAGGGTGAGGAGCATGCCCACTGGATGCCTGTGAGCCTCTGCACCCTGGGCTCCAGCACCAGCCCTCTCCCAACTGGCTTGCAATGGGACACCCTTTGACCTTTCACATTTCTCTCCTATTCTGCTGAGATCTTAGTCGTCATGGGCACCACTTGTTAAGACCACACAGAAAGCATAGGCCCATCAGCTTCTGTGGGCGTCCTGGAAGGGGCTCTAACCACCCAGCATCCTCAGAGATTTTTCTGCCGCCACCCTCATTTATTCATTCACTTGAGTCTTTATGAAGCAACTGCTGCATGCCAAGTACTGTTCTAGATGCTGGAATCTATAGATCCAGGGAAGCAGGGATCTTTACCGAATTGTTTGTCGAGATCCTTGTTTCCCTGAATCCATGAGTTTGTATTCCAGTGAGAAAAGAACCAACTCACCCACAAACAATCCACGATACCATGGTGACCACTGTTGTGAGGACCCAGGTGCGCTGAACCCCTGGGGGAAGGCCTTCCTGGGGAAGCTCAGGCCTTCCACAGGCCACTCGGGGTGGGGTCCAGCATTCTGAGGTCAAGCCTGAGGAGTGGGGAGGAGGCCGTGTGAGAGCAACGGGCTGGGTCATGAGGGCTGTGGTGGAAATGCCCTGAGAGGGTCTGACTCACACAGACCAGGGTCCCTCTGGCTACAATCACAGTCTTATCACCGTGGGTTGCAAAGATTTATTGATTGGCTCCAAACTTCCAAGGATCAGTCAAAAGCAGCACAGACCCTCCAAGAAGAGCAGAGGAAGTGTTTACACACAGAGGAGCCTGAGAGACACAGTGACTAAGGCATAAAGATGAATTATAGATGGAAAGAGAAGATACACAAGCTTCTGGAGAGAAGGGGTTGTGGCCCTAGGCTTGGGAAGACCAGCAGCAGCCACAGCACCTGGGAAGGGGCTTGGAGCCAGGGGTCTCGGTGTGAGGAATGGGGACCAGGGATGCACATATTTGCAGTGGGGCGCCGGGGGAGCCTCCGACTGCACAGGAAGAGGGCAGAGACAGGAGCGTACCCTGGTTCTGTCATTGGGGGGCACTGCTCTGCTCCTGCTGTGTTACTGCCTCTGGCGCTGTTTCGATTTCTGGTATACCCATCCCTCCTCCCCGCACACAGCTGAGGTGCTCTTGGAATGGGCCACAGACATCCTTTCTCGCCCACTGTGTGCCCAACACCGGGGCCAGGGAAGGGAGACTAGCCCAGGGCGGGCTTCCCCTGGTAAAACACACAGCCAGGCTGTAAACATTATAGATTATTTAATGTCTAGGAGGAAAAAATAGAACCAACACATCAAATAATATTGGCGCTCCATTTAAAGCCATGATAAGTTTCCTTTTAAAATAAGTACATTCAAGTAAAACAGGGGGTTGATTTGAAGAAAATTTAAGCACTAGATTTTATGTCATTGAATCTAAAATACCATTATTGACTCTAAGATTCATTGTTATTTTATGAAGTGCTAAGAAAGAAAAAATGTTTGCAGTAAACTGCGGCCCAATACGTTTGCATCATCAATCCCAAATCAAAGATCCAAAAACGTGAGGGAAGAGTTTCAGACAATTGAGGCACTTCGGTAAATAACAGTAAAGATAGGGCAGGCCTATAGTTTGTGAAATGGCAGAGGGCTCATGGCCGCACCTGCTGTGTTCTTTTCAGTACCAGGTGCCTGGCTGGGGGCCAGGTGGCCTGGGCATGGCTAGGGTTGGAGTCCCAGCAGCATGGGCCCAGAAGGAGCCAGGTTCTGTGCATGCTCATTCTGCATGGGCAAAGGGCAGGGAGCCACTGGACACCATCCATCCTGCTGCCCAGGACTGTCTGCACCCTCCCATGTACACACACACATGCACACACACACACTGGTTCCTGAGCCAACCCTGCAGATTAACTAGTGACATGGAAAGGAGAAAGGATTGCCAAGAATTGTGGTCCTGAGTGACCTTAGAGTCCTTCCTTATCAATACAGTAGTCTTCCGGGATCCCTGGGTGGCTCAGTGGTTTAGCGCCTGCCTTTGGCCCAGGGCGTGATCCTGGAGTCCTGGGATTGAGTCCCACGTCGGGCCCCCGGCATGGAGCCTGCTTCTCCCTCTGCCTGTGTCTCTGCCTCTCTCTCTCTCTCTATGTCTATCATAAATAAATAAATATTTTTTTTAAAAAAAAGACAGTAGTCTTCCCATACTTCCTCAAATAAGTGATTTATTCAAATAAGTACATTGATGGGTTTGTAGAATTTCTAGAAACTCTGTGGTGGGCACCCCTGGGTCTGGTGCCCAGGCTGGCTCCCCTACTCTTGTAAAAAAGTACTTGCTGTCCAGGCAAGACCATGGCCATCATCACCACTTGGTTGTGAGCCATGGCGGGCCCTGCTTCGTGATCCCACACACATCCAGTTCTGATGTCCCAGAGTCCTGCTGGCTCACAACACATCTGTCCCCATGGCCTTGCCTCCCCCTCCAGAGAGATGATCCTGCACATGTGGTTTCCTGGTGCTGTCAGGGTTGTGGTCACGTGGCCGTTCTACAGCAATGTTGGCATCATTCACAGGACACCAGCTAGACACTCAGGTCCCTCATGCACAGCTGACATGAGCTTTTCCTCTGCTCCCTGTAAACACGGCCCCAACGCACATGCCCACCTCTCAGGTGCATTGAGGCAGGGATTACTACAAACCAGGCCCAAGCAAAGTAGCTGCAGGTATGTCCTCCAAGTCCTCACAAAGCTGCACAGTGTCAGGGCCACTTTTACTGGCATTTCACAAGAAATCAGGCTTTCAGCCCTTAAGATGACATCCCAGAGCCTGCAGGTAAGGAATGCGGACACGCGTGGGGTTTGAACCCCAGTGGATGGGTTCGAAAGCCACCGTAATGGGGATGTGTCTGGAGTGCTTGCACATCTGCAAGTAAACACGTGGTGAACACTGCCGAGAGTGGCATGAGGAGTGGTCATCAAAGCATTTCATGGCCACCAGTGGCGCTTGTCATTCTCCCTCCAGTGACAATAGGCAGAGTCACTTGATTGCAACTATTTTGCCTCTTCCCACAAGGAATAAGTCTGTCTGTCATCAGCGTCGTCTCTTGTCTGTCAAGAGGGCTGGTTCTTCCTGCCTGCTTTCCTTGCTTCGGCAGTGAGTGTGCTATGCTCTGAACTCAGGCCATGAGGAGAAGGCACTTGGCTTAGCAGCTCATGCATTTCTCCAGAATCTCGAGGTGCACAGCCTCATCAAGTCCCCTGGGTGCTAGAGAAGAAACCATCCAGACCCCCAAACTTGGACCATGTTGGTGGCTCCGGCGCATCCCACACTCCCTGATGTCTCGTGGTTGGTCCAGGCCCAGGGCGGGTGATGGGAAGCATCGAAGCCTCCACTGAGCCCAGGCCCTCCGTGAGTCCGAGGGTTCTTTGTGTCAACTGCAGAAGCCATCCTGAAGCAGCACTACCCCTGCTCCAGCTGGGGGTGAAGCCAGTCATGGGCCCCCTGGTCCTCCCATGTCCCTGGCCACCAGCTCACCAGCCCTGTTCCTTAGTGCCGCATGGTCGACCCTGTGACCTTCTCAGGCTGTCACTGCTTGCCACTAATGCCAGGATCACTTTTCAGGATGCCCCGCCATGTGCCTGTCTGGTCTGATGGCATCTGCCAGAGCCCCTGGCTTGGCCAGACAGCAGCCACAGGTCCTGACCCCATCCAGCCCAGAAGAGAACACAGACCAGTAAAGGGCAGAAACTCAGAGCAGGAGAGGCTTGCCCGTGCCCTCTCTCTGCCCGTATGCCCTTTGGGGCATTTTGACTTGGGGCTGGCAAGAGGGAAGGGAAATGTCAGTTGACCACAGGACTATGCTGTTATATCATGAAAAGAACAAGACGCTCAGGGACAAAGCCAGAGAAGGCAGTGACGGGGAACACACTCAGCGGAGGTCAAACTGCCCAGCATCTCTGGCCGCTGGTCCAGCCCTCGCTGTCCCACCTCCATACCTAGATCCTGCTCTCCCGGGGTGGGGATGGGGGCCCCCTTCATTCCTCCACAAAACCTTTGCTGCATCCCTTTCCCTAGGGCAGCAGTTGGCCCATCAGCTCAGTGTACGGGCCTCTTGAGTGGGGGGTCTCTTAGAGAAAACCAACCCCTGTCTCCTTCATGTTTTATCCGGATTCCCAGTAAGAAATCATGAAAGTAGCAAGTGGGTCTCTGAACAATTTCCAGATCTTCACAATGCCTCCAAGAATGTTTCCCAGAGATGTGGCTGCAAATGAGGTGTAAACATCAGGCATGTTTAGCAAGGGCTAGAATCGCACTAATCTGCAGTAATGCCAGTCCTTTGGTGAAGATTGCCAAAGACATGACATGTGTGCTTATACACATAGATACGCCTGTGTGGTGAAGATGGAGGAAAAGCTGTACAACAGTGATGTCAGCCGGAGTGATTTTCCTGGCTGTTTTTCCTGCCTCTTCTCCTGGGCCCTGGCGGTGCCTAGGATACACGTGGACAGACTCCGGGACAGACTCCGGGCTAGCCAGATGCTCATCAGCCCTGGCCAAGGGAGCAGAGAGCAGAGCATCCACTCAGTGCCAATGGGCCCTGTGGTCACTTCATCAGGAAGATGGGCCTGGCTCACCCCTCACCGCCCCTGGCCAGCCCCCTGGTCACGGTGGGGAGCACAGAGCCACATGGAACATGAGCCACTTCTCATGTTTTAGGGAACGGATTTTATGGAAGAGCTACTTTTATGTTTTTTAAATGTTTTAAGTGGTAGTATTTTATATGATTGCACCCCGGGGCTTTGTAGAGCAGGGCACAGTTTAAAAATTGACTAAATAAATAAGATTCTGACATAGTTGAGATGCAGGGGAGGCCAGACTAGCTCTACCTCCTAGTGGGTTGGAATTCACAAAATCTGCACATGGGTTTGTTCTGCTCTGGGGAAAAGAAAGGCATTTTTTAATTAAAAAAAAAAAGGAGGGGTGCTATCCAGAATAACTTTATATCCAAAAAGATCCCATCCATTTGCTGATGGTGGTCATTGTGTGTGCAAACTGTCATCCTGAAGCCCCTTTCTTGAGCCACGCAAGGTGAGGGCAGGTTCTCTGGGCAGAAAGGGCCCTGTTCCTCAACAGAAAAACTCAAATTCAGAGGTCACTCAAACACAGAAACATTCTGATATAGTTTGGAAGAGACTCATTTAGCTGAATCAATGTTCTACAAAAGGCATAATATGAAAACAGTGAATCAGCTGGCAGGTATTTGGACAACTGTAGGTTGAAAGACATTGGCTTTGATGACTTTGAAGGATGAACCCATTTTGTCATTAACACTTTGTTGGGCTCTTCTGAGGTCACAGAGATACAAGGATGAAGGGTCCGAGTGCACCAACCATCCACACTGAGGGCAGGCCAGCCATGACCGCCCAGGCCCGTCCATTCATGCTGAGCGCCTGGCCAATGGCGGGGACAGGGGCAGGTGCTGGGGAAGCACTCCCGACCAGCTCTGCCGACTAGTGTCAGAGGGGCCACCTCTTCATCGCCCCACCCCGAGGGATGCCCAGAGACACGCACATGCTGTGTCAGGAGCTTACAAGACTTTTTTCTAACACACCACCTTCAAACTTTAATCAGAGAGCCCCATTTCTGTCCTGGGAAAATGCTGCATTTGTATACTTTTTACTATGTGTCTTCCTCTCCTGGTGTTAAATCTCAATTTTCTAATTACCAGCTACACTTTTGCTTCAGTTATGTATTTATGGAGTGAAAATGTCTCCCTGTCCTCATGGTTCTCCAAATGCAGGGCATCGATATTTGCCATGACAGCCTTTCTTCATCAATGCTTCAAAATCCAAAGATAAAGTTTTCACCAGTGGCTTGAGGTCTTTAGGCCACAGCTTGGCCAATTCATTTGGGCTGGAGACCCCTCTTGCAGGAAGCCCATCTTTTAGCTGAAATGAAAACTCCTGCATCTTTTTCTCTGTTCTCTTCTCCGAAGTCAGGAAGCTTCGGGTCATCTATGCAAGCGACACAGATCCTGGTGCCGCTCAGAGCCCAGGGGAGGGGAGACTGACCTGGGTGCAGGAGGACAGGGGTCTTCCCAGTGCTGTGCGGGACACTTGGGCCACCTCCCCGCTTGGCACCATGAGGCTGGATCTTCCCTTTGCCAGCACCACTTATGAGACTTAAACACTAATTACACGTATCTGTGCTGAAAATTGGCTATTACCACCACTTAAACTCCTCCTAATTGTAAGCAGTACTTCCTTAGCAAGCCAGGGACGCTGTCCCTGTTGCCATGGAGAAATAGTTGGTGCTCGGTTGCTTCTCTAAATGCGGCCCTCTCTTGGCCTTTGCTCTTGGTTCCAGGGGTGAGCAAGGTGGTAACAGTGGATGTGAACGGGAACTGGCAGCGCTGGCTGAAGGTGCGGGACCTCACCAAAGGAGTCACCTACTTTTTCCGCGTGCAAGCACGGACCATTGCCTACGGGCCCGAGCTGCAAGCCAATGTCACGGCCGGGCCAGCTGAGGGTAAGTGGAGCTCTGCGGTGGGGCCTGCACCCAGTACAGCACCAGAGGGGAGTGGTGTGCCCCCTCCACCCAGGGGTCCATCCTCGCTGTCGGCCAAGCGACCGTGGCCCACTCAGAGTGGGAAGGAACGCAGGACCATTTTGGCAGCATGGGTGACTTCAAAAGCATGTGCTAGCACCATCTTTTATAGATGGACTGGTTAAATATAGATGAGCAAATTCTTAGATGTTAAACATGTAACATTTTGGGTTGTTTTCTGAAAAAGTTGGGAGAAAACAAGTGAATTTTTAAGGGTTTATTTATTTATTCTGGTGGGAGGCAGAGAGAGAGGGAGAAAGAATCCCATGCAGACTTCCTGCTGAGCACGGAGCCCAACTCAGGGCTTGACCTCACAACCCTGAGATCCTGACCTGAGCCAAAAGCCAAAAGTCGGACATCCAACCAATTGTTCCACCCAGGCACCCCAAACACACATGAATTTTGGCAACGAGATACACAAGAGAAGTTTGAAGTGTTCACATCATGATGAGGAGGCACATGGCTTTGTACTTAAACTATTGGGCACCTTAGCAAGATGAGGGTAGCAGAATCTAGGTTCACAAGGCCCCTGTACATCAGGCACAGGACTGGGCCCATGGCATGGCTCATCTCTGTTCCATCTGGTCAATCCCAGAGGCCCATGTAGCCTTCCCACATCTAGGATGAGAAAAGTGTGATGTGGCAAGGCTAAGCCACCTAGGCCTGGCTCCACCTGTCCCAGTCTCTACCGTCCCCTGCCTCTTTGATCCCACAGGCTCTCCGGGCTCCCCCAGAGATGTCTTGGTCACGAAGTCTGCCTCTGAACTGACCCTGCAGTGGACCGAGGGAAACGCAGGCAGGACACCCACCACTGGCTACGTCATCGAGGCCAGGCCCTCAGGTAAGGGGCGGGGTCTGGGTACCTGCCAACCCCAGAGTCTGAATATCAGAGTCCTTGGGCTCCTCTCAGCCTTTCCCTAACGATACACCCTGATAAAATGTCGGGCCCCTCTCTCCCTCTCCTCCACCACCTTGCGGGTCTGAGATTCTCCATGTTGCGCCATCTCTGGGAACGTGGTATTGTCTTCCTCAGAAATAGGTACATGCAAACTTAGGGACACTTAGAGACATTTCCAACTCATCAGTAGGATTCAAGAGTGCTTCCAGGGACTCATCCCAGGCTCTGTGTGTTTGCACCCAGATAGACAGAGTCCTGCTCCTTTCTGGTCATGATGAAGATGCCTGTTCCCAGGAAGCCTACACGTCCTCTGCCCCATTTTCAGGCTCCTGAAATGACTCTAAGGTCATTCCCTACCCTGTGTGCCCTAAGAGGGTTTTTGCTCTCTTCCTCCCATTCAACAGTAATAACCAAGCATGGACATTATTAGAAAATCAATTTCTGCCGCACTGAGCTGGCTGTTACTCCTTGGAGCTACAGGGTGTCACCAAATGCAGAGAACACTGAGCATGTCCGCTGTAACCTTCAGATGGTCATGCAAGTATCTGAGCATGAAAAAACACGGTGCGCCAGGGCTGCATACAGAAAGCCCGCTGCCAGAGCCCGTCCATGGTGCTAGGCATCCTTGCAGTCAGATATTTAAAGAAGCTGTTGGACCAAGAGGGAAGGTCTGCAGGGTCACATACATCACTGTGCCAGACAGACTGCCCGCCAAAAGACTGCTTTTGAGAGATTCCTAGTTGTAAACACCTCCTAGAAATTTCCAGGTAGAAAATCTGGTGCCTGAGACCAAAACAGCATCTGTTAAAGGCAATATGAAGAATTCTTTGGCTCAAGCACTCACACATTCAGTGCGTCAGGCTGAGGGGTCCTGGTAGCTTGTGTTGAGCAAGGCATTTGGTCTGTTCTGGAAGTGGAGGGTCTCAAATCAGTGACAGGCCTTCTGTGGCCACTGCCCCCCACCCATCCCTCTGGAAGCAGGTGGCCCCGAGAGCAGACAGCAAGCTCTCTGCTGAGAGCATCCAATTCCTGAGCCCTTGCAGAGACTGGCAGGAGCTTGGAATACAGGTCCAGTCAGGTCTGGGCCCAGTCGAGGGCTGCAGAAGCTACACTGACACCAGAGAAGCAACTCGACGCTTTTCTCCCCAAATCTAGGGAGAGCGTTCATTGCAAAGGTTACATTGTGAGCTTCCAGGCCCACCAAGGGCTCCTGAGAGAATTAAGGAGATCCATGGACATCACTGACCTCTAACTGAAATTCAGCATTTCCTTCCCTTATAAACGCAGGCATGTTCATCTACTCTGGCTGCTGGAACCATGGACCCCACACTGGGTGGCTTAACCCACATGCATGTACTGTCTCCATCTGGAGGCTGGCCATCCAAGGGCCAGGTGTGGCACAGTGGGGTCCCCTGAGGCTGTGAGGGAGGGTCTCCAGCTATGTCAATCTCAGGCATTCTTTGGCTTCTGGAGGCACCACCCCCATATCTGCCTTCTTCCTCTGTACCCTTCTGTCCCTGTGCTCAATTTTCTCCTTTTTATGAGGACAACCAGTCATACAGGATTAGGAAGGGCCCTGACTCAGGACCTCATCTTGACACATGCAAAGACTCTATTTCCAAATAAGATCACATAGTGTGATGTTGGGGATCAGACTTTGAACACATGAATTTTGAGGGGACGCAATTCAACCCACAACAGTAGGTAGGAAACCACATAAGTAGCTGTAGAAACTGTGGAATTGTCAGCAATAGAAATCCCACTGCTTTCCATCTCATCCTGGACTGGCAGGCACTTCCCAGCATGGTTGACCTTATCATTTGAACGCTCCCCAGACCTTGTTACCCGGTGTGACCCTAGCCTAGTGGCACTCACTAAAATCCAAGCCTCTGTACCCCATCTTCCAAAGAACCATGTATGCAGTCCACTAGGTAATGCAACAAAAACCGCACATGACCCACAGGATCTGAATATCTGCGATATGGGGCTGCTGTGAACCTCTAGTCACCTCTAGGTAGTTATAGGCATCAGCAACATAACCGATTCCTTTTACAATTTATTTTATGCATTAAAGGAATTCTGAGAAGGTGTTCCTTCACCTTCTCAGAGGTGAAGAGGTGTGGTGTCAGCAGATTGCCAAAGGGGTCTGTGGCACCAAGGAAAGATAAGAGGCCCTGGAGGATACACACACAGAAGACCCTTGCCAACTCATTTCCTTCTGCCTGAGAGCTTGGTCCCCGACTAGAGTGTTAAGAACCCCACTGAATGCGTGTCTGTGAGAGGACCACAGTGGGGTCCTTGGGGTGACAGGTCACTCTCTGTCTGGCCTGTGTCAATGTCACTTCCCAGTTGTGATGCTGGTGCTGTTGTTTTGCATGATGATCCCATTGGCAGACACCAGATAGAGGGCAAATGGTATCTCTCTGCATTATTCCCCATAACTGCATGGGGTTCTATAATTATCGCAAAATAAAAAGCTCAGCTTAAGATTTTAAATATATATATCCCATGGATGGTGTCCTGTTCAATCAAGTGCAACAGCACATCTTTGAAACGAGCATTTTCGTGTCAGAGATCAGCCGTGGGGAATGTATCACATCAGCAGCCAGACACGGGTGTATGGGCTCAGAATCTGAACAGTGGAGAGCACATTCTGGCACTTTCTGAGTAAAGAGAAGGTATTGATTCTCAGGCTTGCCTGGGGAACTATTCTCTTTGGGTTATCATGTGCTCATTCATCCACCATAACGAAGGAAGCGGGTTGCTTATTGGCCAGAAATGCAGCTTTAGGGAACGTGAATGGTGGTATGAAGACAAGCTAACTGGGATGCGGGCCTGGGTTTCTCATGGAGCCCCGTACCCCGAGGGCTTCGGCCAGATGGGCACCTCCTGAGATCAGCAGGACCCTGAACTGGGCAGGTTGGTACCGCTATGTGGAAACCGGCCCCCAGGGACTATGATGTGACAGAAAACCGACCTCCAAGACGCTGTCTTGTTCAATGAGCGCTAAAAATTTGGCCTCCACTTCTGTTCTGAGACAGATTTCCCCTTTCAGACCATGGACGGAACCAGAACGGCTGCGGGGCTCCCCGTCTCCCCTCGAAAGGGTGCTTCCTGCCTCCAGTGACTGGGGCCAGCAGCAGCTCAGAGGCAAATGAAATGCTTTTATGGATTGTCAATATTTAAACACCTTGCTGGTGCCTTTGGGCTTTGGATCTCAGCTGTCATCTATTACAGGCCTCATTACACAAAACATTAAACGCTCTATCTTATTTTCTCCACCGAAGCTCTCTGGCAAGACTTTCTCCTCGCAGGGGAGTGGTTTTCAATGGGAGCACGGATCTGGTAAGATGGACCCAGGTTTTCATGAGGAGGCCTTATTTTTGATGGGATCCATGCAGCACACGGGGGTTCCTCCCCAATGGGTGTCTGGGGAGCCTGAGCCACTGTGTTAGGTGGCCCCTGCCCCTCGCCCCCCCCCACCCGCCCGTCTGCTGGGCCTGCCATCTTCTCACCCAGCCAAATCTCCATCTTGCCCCCCGGAGGCAGGTGGCTTGTCAGCTAGTGGCTGATGTCCTGAGGTGGCCAGCAGGGCCGGGGCAGCCCAGGCAGGTGGGGGCAGATGGCAGAGCAGCCTCTGGCTCTCCTGCATGGTCACTGTAACCCCTACAAATTCTGTGGGATCTCCCCATGCTGTCCTAACGTGGAGATAGAACCAAACAGCAGCTATGAGATTTGCGTCTTGGGCTGGAACATTCCTGAGAAGGACAGTCAGTGAGTGCAGACCCAAGGACAGCCTTGCCAAAGATGCATGTCTCCACTTGTGTGTACGTTTCCTTAGTCGGTGTTGCAAAATTCCCTGGAAGGCAGAGGAAACTATGCAGTGGGCTTATGCAGATGATTTATTTACACAAATTATCCCAAGGCAGTTTATTGTGTAGATCACGAAACCGAATTTACATATTTACACAATAGACTGGAATGGCACGAAAGGAACTATAAATATATTTTCCCCTCCGAAGCAGCCGTGAAATTCATATTTAGGACGTACTCGGTGCGGGCAGACATTGTTCTGCCTTTTTCACAAATGAGTGTAGTTAGCCCAGAAATGAGAGCTGGTCAGCAGGAGGACAGGCCCTTAGTTCTGGTCCCTGATCGCCACCCTGCCCCCCCCTGCCCCCCCCCCCCCCCCCCCCCCCCCCCCGCCTCCAGCATCTCCCAGCTCCCTCCCCACTCATTTTGTTCATGCGGGTCTTTGGCCCTGGGACTTTTCAATCGAACAAAGAAAAAAAAATCAACCTTTTCCCAAAGGTTTAAAATTCATGGAAATCCCTGAGTCAGCAAATGCGGCGGCTGGCTGCTGACCCTCCCCAGCCGGGCAGTCACTCCTGCCCGCCTCACACCCACCGCTGTATCCGCTGCGGCCTCCTCTTCCTGAGCTCACCCGACACAGGTGTCCTTTGCTTCTAGACATCCACCTCATTCTGTCTCCTCCTTAAACCAGGATCAGATAAAAGGTGATTTTTTTTTTCTTCTCAGAGATATTTAGCCCCGTGCATGAGCACCCCCTGCTTCTGTTAAATTTCGGACTGAGACTGACCACCGATACAAAGAGAAAAGGCAATGTTTAAGGAATAAACAGCTGACAGGCCTCCATTTGCTCAGAGCTGTAGGATGACAGTCACGTTGTTGGTTGCGTGAGTTAGTGGAACCAGAAATCTGGGGCCCGTGAGTGACAGTTTCATTCAGCATGGAGACCCTGTTTAATTGTCCATGAAATCAAACTTTTGTTGGCCTGGCGTCTGTCTGAATACCTGCGGCACGCAGCTCGGTTCTGGGCGTTGGAGGGATAAATTGAGCGACCCTCGGATGTGCCTGAGCTGGGCTCTGTCTCAATTCAGGAGAGAAGTGTTCATGTTTCCAGGTTTATTAGGACATTGTCT